TTTTTTTTTCTAAAAACTGACCGCAAATTACTTCAGGTATGTCACTGCATTTGCTGCTTCTCTTGATGAGTGTTCCACCAACAACGTTTTTACTCAGCAGCAAGCTATCAACTACGTAACGACCAAGGTAAGAAAGCGCAAGCCTTAATTAACAGCGCATCTTCCGAAGAGATAATTAATCATAAATTTTCTCTTAGATCAAAGCTCGCAAGTACGGGGGACCTTACGGAGCCACAGCTTCAGCGAATGTTAGTGTCCCCAAGGAGCATGAAGCCGTAGACTTTTTATCAACGTCGGTCCATATTTTTCCAAATTTATGTATTCATATACTCTTTGTCTTTATCCCTCTTATCTGCTTTGGTTTTCAGATCAATGATCTGTCACATCCCCTGTCATGACGGAAACTTTAAAATGAAAGCGATCTTTCTGGGCTTGATGACAAGGAGGTTCAACCTTAACATTTTCGTATTTGTCAACGTCTTATCTTCATGCTCTCATATTTTTCAGGTTGATTCAAGCGGAACTCGGTGAATGTGATTTGGATGATCGTGACTTTTACGGAAATAAGAGACTTGAATTAGCAGGGTCTCTGTTATCGTTGCTGTTTGAAGACGTTTTCAAACGTTTCAATAGCGAATTGAAAAGGGTGGCAGATAACTCTCTTGGGAAAACGCTGGCAGCCCCTCTTGATATTGTAAAACATATGCGGCAAGTTCGTTTTCCTGCTAACATTGGAAAGATGTGTAGAAAGAAATCAGCTTATTTACAGGATTTGATCACCAACGCAATATCGAATGCGCTTTCTACCGGAAATTGGATAATCAAGCGATTTCGCATGGAACGCCATGGCGTCACTCAGGTAGTTGGGGAATACCCCTTTTCAAGTTGTATCGACGTTCATGTGATAACGAAAAATTGTTAGTGAGACTATCCTCTTGTTTTTTATTTCAAAGATTCTCTACAGGTTGACTTCGAAATTGATTTCAGGTTTTGAGCCGGCTTTCTTACATCTCAGCTCTAGGAATGATGACAAGAATTAACTCCACATTTGAGAAGACTCGAAAGGTAATCTTCTTTTTTTGCGATTGTTCATCAACATGATGCTCAACACTTATACTCGTTGAACCTATCTCACTTTTTGCGTTACCACGTAAGAAGGTTCTATGGCGTCTTCTTCGTAGTTTCACACTCGAACTTCTCGACCTTCTCTATTTCTTATGGAAGAAATAAACTTTCATATGGCCGCTGAGCAAATTTTTAGCAATCAGCTGTATCTTAAAATGTGGACTCTGCCGAAAATACGCTTATCCTTAATTCATCCAACAAAATCTAGGTTTGCTTCCGTTAATCTCTTTCTGTTAAAGGTGTCTGGTCCTCGGTCACTACAACCTTCTCAGTGGGGAATGCTGTGCCCTAGCGATACACCGGAAGGTGAAGCTTGTGGTCTGGTGAAGAACCTTGCTTTAATTTCGCATATTACCACTGATTCGGATGAGAGAGTACGTTGTATCTGTAAAAATCAAAGATTTGTCTTTTTCAACTCTTGTATAATATCGTCTTTTCAGCCAGTTCTGCGGCTGCTTTTCAATTCAGGAGTTGAGGATTTACAAAACATGCATTTCTCTCACATCAATAACCCGTAAGTGTCCAAAAAATTGTGAGACATTACTAATGAAAATTAACCTTTTCAGCAATTATCACCAAGTTTTCCTGAATGGTCTGCTGGTGGGAACAACGCTTGATCCAGCACGTGTAGTGCGTGCCGTACGAACTGTTAGAAGGTGCATCTACATAAATTTAAAATTATGAGCGGAGATACTATTATCTGCTTCAACACTCAATCACATCATAATTTACAAAAACATCAATAGATGGGCATGACACTCAACAATAATATTATCTCGCTAAGCTAAAGCCGTACTTTGCTTAAAACACTTGTCTCGATGCCTGTTTCTTTTGTGAAATTAGAAATCCACCATTTTATTTATTGAGTCTCTGTTCTGCCCATTTTTCATTTTAAGTGTAATAAAACTCTGTCACAGCTGAATCCGTCTACCTTCGTCTACACTCCTACCCTGGATTTGAGTTCGGTCAATATCTTTAGCTCATAGACTATCTCTCTCTCCCCTCTTGTTTTTGTGTCTATCTTCCATTTCTTGTTCAAATGTTAACCATACTTGCTTTCCAATTAAATCAATCCTAGAGCATTATAGGAGTGGCTTACTTTCCGAGTTCGTGTCCGTCTCCCGCTCCCTTCCTCTTCGCGCAGTGTACATCGCAAGCGACGGTGGTCGACTGTGTCGTCCATATTTGATCGTAGAGGATGGAAAGGTTCTCCTTCAACCTCACCATATACAGGTGACTACTTTTAAAAGTATTGAAAGATCGAGGAGTGGAAAGTGCGCAAATTCTTATTTGGGGGTTGATGGGAAGAAACATTTTCAAAAATCTTAAAAGATAAGCAGTTATCTTAAGTGACGAGGCTGAGTCAAAAAAAAAATGTTTGAAGTTAAGCTAGTATAGAGGTTTTCACCTTATATCTGCATTTTGTCGCATTTCGCAGCACTCGAATTGAAGAACTTTTTCATTTCAAAGAAAACATTTTAACCCTTTTGATGTACACCCATTTTGAATATCTTACTTTTGTAAGTCATTTTAGCCATTCGCATTCTATTTATAGGAACTCAAAGAAGGTCAACGTATCTTTGAAGATTTCGTTGATGATGGCTTGATAGAATATTTGGATGTGAACGAGATGAATGATGCCAACATTGCTGTTTATGAGACTGATGTGAATGCAAAGACTACTCATTTAGAGGTAATTTTGAACACATGTGGCTCATAGTTAAGCCCAGCCTTCATCCGTTTTCTCATATAGATTGAAC